CATATATTTATTATGGTCGCACTTCGAAGTTTGATATTTAAAATTTATCGATCATATATTTATCATGACCATATTTATCATGACCGCACTTCAACGTTTCCAACAAATTTTAAATCGTTTAAAACGAATATCTGTAACTTAAAATACTAAATCAAATGTAGTTAAAAAAAAAAAAAGGTTAGCCGAGTCGAGCCATAAAGCCATTTGGCTCGACTGTAAACAAAACTAATCAAAGAAAAAAAATAAAAAATTTAGCCGAGCCGAGTCATAAAACCATTGGGCTCGGCTCGGCTCGGCTCGGCTCGGCTCCGCTTATGAAACAGTAAAGGCAAACTGCCTCTTTTATTTATGGTAGACATTGTGTATTAATTTCAAGTGTTACAATTATTAACTTATGGCCAAGATTCACAGCTAGTTGCGAAGTCGAAGAACGCCAAATTTTCCGAGTGCTGAGATGGATGATTACTCTATGGAGGCCAACTCCCATCTGATCTAGACATTTTCTGTCGAATGAATATGAAATTTTTAGATAATATGGTGTATTATTAAGACGACGGCTTATGCATCTTACCTTTTGGAAATTACCGCTCAAATAATTTTTTCTGTCGAAATAATTGCAATCACTAGCAACGTCACCAATTTTATCACAAAAGAATATAACACCGTCAAAGTTTGCGACTACTGAAAGATCGATAGACCTGATTGTTGAATAATACGAAGAAGACAATATAGAAGAATACAAGTAAAATAGAGTGATTTGACCAACGTGGTATAGCAAAGTTTGCGACTATTGAAAGATCGATAGACCTGAATGATGAATAACACAAAGAAGACGATATAGAAGAATACAAGTAAAATAGAGTGATTTGACCGACGTGGTATGGCAAAAGTTTGAAATTTTAATCCATTGGAAGCCATCTAATTTGAATCCTTAAACTCCAAAAGTCTAGACTAGACGCCTAGTTAGTTACGGTCTACTAGACATTAAACCATACGAAAAATCAAAATCCATTTTTACAATAATAAATTCATTTGGTCTAAGAGAAGAGTTGGTATGAAGTCAATAATAAGGCTCAATATCACGACTGCCGTCGTCAAATTTCTCAAAATATTTTTTCCGTTCTGATTACATCACTTCCTTTACATTATGGTTGACATCATCGGATCATCCATATTGTCAAGAATTGATTGGATGAAAAAACCATTTCATTTTTAAATTGTCCAATAATTTGATGAAACGTGGTAGTGTGTGAATTTTAAAAGTTTCAAATTTCTACCGAACTAATTAAAAGGTTATCTCATACATTACCCTGTCACATACTGAACAAAGTTTTCACACGTAACCTACTTTTGACGTTAGTGTACGCTAGTCACCGAAATTATAAGCGAATTGCGTTTTTAAAACAACAATTAACAACTTAAAAATATTTGAAAATAATTAAATGGCTACCATGATTTTTAACACCGAATAATGTAAATGAACGTGGAAATTACATGAAAGGAAATTAGTTTCCAATTCATTTTTTTTTTTGTCTTTAAAATGGACCCAATGTAAATGGCACTGAACAAGTGGACAAAGATAGCGTCGGATCTGGGCAGTTAAGTGGGCTGGACCACTAGAAAGTAGTGCCGGGAATGGGTCCCACTCGTGCAATAGTTTGGGCCGGGCACACGTGAACTTCACGAGGTTAGGACCAGTTTATAAGGACCCCACTTAAAATAATTATTGCCTCAACAAAAAGCTAAATTAATTAAATTTGTTTTTTTCCTATCTTTTTCTTTTATCCTTGTGCAACAGATCCACCACGTTTTCTTGTATAATACTGTATAGTCTTCGATATACAAGTAGCTCAAGATTGCGGATTACAATGGATCTTCAATTACGTAACTCGACCGCAGCTGTTATTCTTTACTCGATTGAGAGAGAACGA